ACTTCGAGCATACCTTGGATTCTCCCTTTGTGGTACTCACTCGCAAAAATAGCCTCTGAAGACTTAATGCACATGTCCAGGAGATCAGTACGACTCAAGCCAAAATGCTGTGCGGCCAACAAGTACTCATTAGAGACGGGGCTACAGAAAAACCCCACATCATCGGTCTGTGGAAATCAAGCGTCAGAGAACGAGAATATATTTCCATCTTAGTTGGAGTGACTTACACATAGTGCGATCGGGCAGCTTTCGTGTCGCCAATAACCGAAATGGTGATCCAAGAACCCCCCATTAATCATCTTCGCATGGACATTGCAAGAAATGCACAGTTCCAGGCCGAGCTTGCGCCGCGCAATCTCCTTCTTGATATCATCGGGCACATGGATAACATGGCCTAGTCGGTCAGGCTGGAAAGAAAGAAGGGTCGATAGTTCGCTTGCGGAAGCTGAGGCTGTGGTCTCAGCAAAGTGAAGGGTGATTCCTAGCCCATTGGCCTTGGCTTTCGCAAATGGTTCTTTGTAAATGCTAACATCGCCTTTGGTTGGGTTGCCGCAAATATCCACCCCCACAACCCCGCGCGACTTGTTTTCGATCGCAAGATTGACAATCTCGTCCGCTTCTGCTGCTGTCATGCTGCCGCGATCGATGGCTAGAATTAAAAACACGGACATACGGTTAGTTTTGCTTCGGAATTTCTCGGTTGTATCCAGAACTGAGTTGATGTATTGTTCTTGAGTGATGCTGGGAGATGCTCTTGGTATGGTCCGTAGCTCGAGGTACACTACTCCATCTCCAAGAAAGTCCTCGAGGACTGAGTTGGTGGCATATACCAAGCTATCTAGGTCGTTGCATAGCTGGTAGGTCAACTTGGAAAATGTTGAGAAGAACCTAAGGCCTTCATTAGATTTGAAAGTGATGGTTTTGTAGTATTGTCGAGTGTAGACACAGACACCTACGTTTCCAGTGTATAATCGACCTTGCCCGGAGGCATTAACACCAGCGGATCTTCTACATCGAGATTGGGATCCTGTTCTTTTTTGCGTTTCCAGATCTCATGCAGACATTGGCGACTGATGCTCCCACTGAGATGAGCGTGCAGCTGCAGTGTGATCTAGTCAGAAAACTCAAACATTACGAGAAGTCGACCATACCTCGATTTTCGGTAGTGCTTTAGTGAATCTCTGGTCAACTGGCTTTGAGTCATCCATGGCTTGGTCAGATAGTCAAGTCTACGAGGATCGAGGGATGTAGAAGCGGACAGAAACTGCCAGGGCAGGTGACTTCCTCTTTTCCCAACTTCACACGGACATCACCGTCCACCCGTACGATATGGCCCCCACGTTTGAGCGTTTGAGGCAGAATCGAATAGATTGCTGACATGACAACTTGATACACTCAAGCCAATAGTATCGCCCAGAATACACCGAGGGATTGACAATAGGGGTTGGACCTCTATGTTTTGACGCTACAGCATCTACTTTGCCTTTAATGAATTAGAACCAAATTGATATTCTATGTAGCGCTTCCCCCTCTCCGGTACGTTAATGAATAGCTAAGCTGATTTCAAACCATCCCGTTCCCTCGTTCTTTTTTGTTCCATTGTTAATCCAAGCAATTCCTGAAATACTCGCATCCTGCCATCCTTTTGAAACTACTCTACCAGTTCCTTGTCTTATTCAACTCTCAACGCCCCCTCAAAACCCCACAATGGCCAAGACTCTTGCTATTTTCGGTGCCACAGGCCAACAAGGCAGCTCCGTCCTGAACCATGTGCTGAACGACCCAGATCTTTCCCAACAGCACAATATCCGGGCCATAACCCGTGATGTCAACTCTGAGAAGGCGCAGCAATTGAAAGCGAAAGGGAATATCGAGGTTGTTGATGGCGACGTGGCCGACTCGACCTCACTAGCGGCAGCCTTGACCGGTGTGCATACGGTCTTTGCCATGACTACACCTGATCTTAGCGCCGATGCTTTCCAAGTCGAGCTAGCTAATGCTAAGCGGATCGCCGATGTCGCTGCTCAGCAGGGTGTCGATTATCTTATCTGGAGCACTCTCCCAGCAATTCGCGATATCTCCAATGGCAAATACAGCGCGGTTATCCCCTTCGATGCAAAAGCCGCCGCCGAGGAATACATTCGCACGCTTTCCATCAAGAGTGCCTTTGTCTCGCTTGGCTCGTTCATGGAAAACCTCCAGGCGCAAACCTTTTTGGCCCCCACACAGGCTCCCGATGGTACCTATGTGCTAGCCCGTCATACCTCTCCCCAGGCCCAGTTCCCCTTGCTAGATGCTGTGGGTGACACGGGCAAGTTCGTGGGCGCTATCCTTGCTGAGCCCGAGAAGTATCAGGGAAAGCGACTCCATGCTGCCACAAAACTATACACCGTGGAGCAGATCACCGCCCTCTTATCCAAGAGTTCTGGTAAGCCCATCGTCTATAAACAGGTCTCCACTGAGGAGTTCAAGGCAGGATTGCCGTTCTTCCAGGATGTTTTTGCGGAGGGATTTAGCTTCATGGATGAGTATGGATATTTCGGCCCTGGCTCGGAGGCGTTGGTTGCAGAAGCTGCTGCAAGCGCCCGGGGTAAGCTCTCCACTTTCGAGGAGTACTTGGAGAAACACCCCTTTCAGCTTGTATAGACAAATAACCGTTACAAGTGTTGGTTTAGTTAACATGATGTAAATCATAAGATTCAAAAATCAGAACATAGAATTTAATCTCACCTCCTGTTACCTAGAAGACCCAGTAGGATATATATACCAACTCTTATTTCTACTACCGATTGCTGCTAAGCCGAACTCCCTATTCAGCTTTAGCTAACCTTGCCATTTGGCCTTGGTGAATGAAAACTGTCCAGGTGGAGACTTTCAGGAACCTTCACGGGCCGTGCCGAAAGTCAGCCATAGATCTTGCGGATGTTCATGAAAAAATATATAATATTATTAAAATTAACATACAATTAATGCATTTGGGGGGGGATTTATATATATATTCGAAAGTAGAGATATATATTCGTTGGGTGTAGGTAAAAATCCACTGTCACAGGAGATACCTTTATGGAGTGTAGATTAGTTTTATCAAATTTCCAATTTATTTTGGTAAAAATGTAGCAATATTCGATGGATAGGCCAGAATAGTTATAGAAAACAGTCATTTATTTTAATGACTTAGTGGATTTATGAACACCAAGACTGGTTTTTTTATACAACCGTGGGCTTTGCGGAAGCACAGTTTGTCGTGCAACGAAGATCTCCCATGATATACATGGTCGTCACACGCATGGCCATCACACTCAACTAAAATCTCCGGATGGACGCGGTCGCTCGAATAGAGGTTGCTTCATTGAACCTTACCCTTCACGTCACAGGAGTGAACAACCGATCATTCTACTCAATGTGTAGCTAGAAATAGACGTTTAGACCAGAACCAGGAGCTCAGGTACTTCGTATACCCTAACTTTGCGCAAGCCGGCGAGCGGTCCAGGAGGTGTTGCTCTTTTTGAGGAGCAACGCGAACAAGTTCTTTAAACGATTGGATTAGACGAGAAACAACCGATGAGACTCTACATATGAGATGCGCATTCCCTTTGGTAAGTTCATCGATGAGCTCCCACCGAAGGCGAACGTTAGAGTCACCCCCAGCAGTTGATACCTTCGTAAAGTTGAGTAGTCCCATCACTATGGAGTAATCCATTCAAAGCTTTTTTTCAGAACCAGGTATTCCGTAGACGGTGTTACAATCAGAAGATTGGATCATACATGAGTCGAGTCAGATAATCTTCTTGGGGGTTTCAGGAAATTGCTGCGCTCATTTTTGCTGGCCACCACAGATAATAGTCTTGATGTCGAAGCATTGGTATCTTCGTCGTAGTGTTAGGCATAATTTGGCCGGCCCGTTTCTATTGCGGGAGAGCAGATGAGACCCCCGAAACAAGGGGGTTTGATAGAGAGACAAAGTAAATGCTCCTGGGGTTTCGTAAGGTGACTCGGGCAGGTGAACTTAAACGGCTGAGATAGAGGAAGGGAGGATGCGCAGAGCCTCAATGAGTCCTGGATTTAAGACATGGAAAAGAAACAGGCAAAAACCCGAGCCTGCATGATCTTCAATGGAAATGGGGCTGTGTCTCGTGTTACTCCTTGTGACAACGAGGCTGCCAAGGTGATTTAAGCCCCGTTTCCACTGCGCCTTAGGTCGCTTGGCGCGGAGGCAGTCCAGTCTGCATTCTCCGAATACCGAGATACAACAGTAATGACAACTGTTCAGCGTAGGTAGACCTATCGGACGCTCCATTTCACTAGGTAATAGACCCCAAAAGCGTAAACAGCCAATATGAGGTATACATCAATTCATACAAGAACTTTCAAGCCACAGGCTTTGAGGCAAAAGGAGCAACCATTTTATATTATCCCCAATCAAACCATGGACGTTCCGAGGTCGATCACTCATATCCATCCCCACTATAAAACCATTGGCTGTGAGACCAACCCCTACCAAGTAGACTCCCACTTTTCAGCCGCATGCCATTTTACCCCCGGAATGTCGGCATTCTCACTTCACTACAGTGATGAATATACACGCCATCAAAAAACCTCAAAAGCGGATAAGAGTTCAATCCCAGAATGAACCTAGACCATCCCAAAGAGTCAAAGACCGTCAACCTAAACCAGACCAAGTTCTTCTCACATCGTATTCCAGCGCTGTCCCTGATTGTGCAATAGATTAGTTATGTCCTGATTATCATAGTATTATCTAATTGGCTGCGAATACTAATGTATGCTCAGTCCAACGCGGGGTACATACCCCCTGCGCTGCAACCCTGCAACGCTCTGACGGCACCATATTGGCGAACTCAGCCACAGGCACTAACAGATAGGCTTAGAGGGTCTTCTCCAATATCCCCCCAGCGCCTCCTTCAAGCTCCACTCTCTCTACAATCATTCTAATACTGAATTTCTTTCCTGCGGTCAATGTATGACATCCTTTGCAAACCAAAATGATGTCCCCAGATGACTACACCGTCGGATGGATCTGCGCCCTCCCTTTGGAGATGGCTGCAGCAAGACTTGTTTTGGATGCGACCCATCCTCCACTTCACCAGCCTCGCCGCGATCAGAACTCTTACCTCCTAGGTGAACTTGCTGGTCACAATGTTGTTGTCGCATGCCTACCAGCAGGGATATATGGAACGGCTTTTGCAGCGGTCGTCGCTGCCCAAATGCGTCTAACATTTCCTGCGATCAGGATAGGGCTTATGGTCGGCATCGGTGGTGGTGTTCCATCGCTCATTACAGATATCAGGCTTGGTGATGTTGTCGTCAGTCAGCCGCAGGGACAATTCTCAGGTGCTGTCCAGTATGATGCCGGGAAAACGATTGCCTCCGGTAATTTTGAGCGGACCGGGACATTGAATATGCCTCCAGCCGAGCTTCTCACAGCACTGGCGAAAGTTCAAGCGAATCGCATGATAGAAGGAAACACGCGACTTCAGTTACATATCTCAAAGGCAGTGGCTACAGAAACCCAAACGGGCCCAAATTCTTTCCGCAGGCCAGCGGAGGGTCATGATCACCTTTATGATGCTAGTTATACCCATGAAGACTCTGCTAGTGACTGCACCAACTGCGATCATATGAGGGTCTTAGACAGGCGGCCACGGACATCGGAAGAACCTCATATACACTACGGAACAATTGCCTCGGGAAATCAAGTCATGAAGAATGGCCAAGTTCGTGATCAACTTGCTAGCCAACTCGGCATTTTGTGTTTCGAAATGGAGGCTGCCGGTTTGATGAATCATTTCCCATCCTTGGTAGTGCGTGGCATTTGTGACTATGCAGACTCACACAAGAATAAAGAATGGCAAAGATACGCGGCTCTGGCAGCCGCTGCTTTTGCCAAAGAGTTGTTATGTGAAGTACCAGTACAAGTAGGCAGTGGTGGTATCACAGGTACCAATGGCTCATTCTCAGATGGTATGTCCATACTGACACCTCAGATAATGGTACTAGTATTGGTCGTCGGCTAACAATTGACAATTCAAAGTAGATGAATTTGAAGTCCGATTCAGATCAATCGACATGCCTCCCGTTCGCCATTTTGTCGGCAGAGAAGCCGAGATGGCTAAAATAAAAAGGGCTTTTCAGCCTGATAGCGCAAACCAGACGGTTGTTCTCCATGGTATTTCGGGGATCGGGAAAACACAAATCGCTCTAGCATACGTCCTACAAAATTTGGACGCCTACTCCGCTATATTCTGGCTAGATGCGTCTGACGAAGACCGGCTCGCTTGTAGCTTTCTGGAAATGGCAGACCGCATCATCAAAGATCATGATTCCTTATCTGCCCTTCAGAAAATCGTTTACTCGCACAATGCCACTGCCGCTATACCCGCAATCAAAGAATGGCTTAGCTTGCCAGGCAATGACAGGTGGCTGCTGGTGTACGACTGCTACGAGGTGGATGGCATTGTCGACGCCGATGACCCATCTGAGCTATGTGGTCTTAGGAAATTTCTTCCAGATATACGGCAAGGGCATATACTGATTACCACTACAATACCAGGCGTCAATCTGGGCACTGAAGTAGCAGTGGGGAAACTTCATAATACGGAGCAGAGCCTTGATATCTTGTCCCAGGCTTCCGAGAGACCAGACCTGCGCAGAGGTAAGTGGCGTAAAGTCCGGAAATAACCTTGTACTCTTTCTTTTCTGATCTTGCTTGAACAGAGCCGTCTGCTCATGACCTAATCATGGAATTGGATGGATTCCCACAGGCCCTTGCTAGTGTTGGAGCCTACCTCAAAAACAGTAATATCAGCTGTCGTGAGTACCTGGAAAATTATCAGGCTCGGTGGTCCGAGCAGGTGCCTGAAAATCCCCCGCCTACATATCCGGTACATATTGCATGGGAGATTACCATGAAAGAAATCAGCCGTAAGCACACACATGCAGCATACCTAGCAAATTCCTGGTGTTTTTTCAGTAACCAGGATATATGGGCTGCGCTTTTACGGCGTGGGGGCAGTTCCCACCTTGCTGATATTGGGCGAAGCCTTCCGACTTTCGTTGATTCTATGCGCGTTCTTTGTGAATATGGATTGGTCGAGGTTGGAACAGATACGACTAGTGGCAGAATCAATGGGGTTCCAGGGTATTCCATGCATAAATGCATACATCAATGGCTCTACTCTGTCAACAGCCGCACACAGTTGTTTCACCAACAAGCAGACGAAGTTCTTCATTGCGTTGCCTTATACGCATGTCGCAATCGGGGCAGTCTACCTGACTGCCGTCAGATCCTTCCACATGCTGACCGTTGTTTACAACTCATCAAGTGGAACGTTATGGGACAGGACATGGCTCAGAGATCTACCTATGGTCGTCTGTACTCCTGGCTCGCGGAATACTACCTGGCGGCTAGTCGTTGGGTGACCGGAAAATCTGGTCTCTCCTCGGTGGGCGACGACGCTGCCCCATCCCAAGGCTCTAGGCTTTTGCTGCGATATGGATTTTCTCGAATCCATAGATTCATTGCAGAATCACATGCAAGTGATCTTGATTATCTCGGAGTTCCTTACCCAGAGAAACGCCACCTCTCCAAAGTTGAAGAACTGTGTTTGCTCGCCTTGCAGATGAATGCTGCATCCCCTGGAGGCGACTACCACGGAAGGCAGACACGACTCAATGCATACATCAACCTAATGATAGTTTATGATAGGAAAGGAAATCTTCTGAAATCCTTGAAGTTTGAGTATAAGATGCTGTGTCTCCAGTGTCAAGCCAGCGTTAAAAAGTGGTATCAAAACAAGCCCTTCCTGCTTTCTTCGTTCTTACTATTCTGCCGCAATTTCATTCTTCTCAAATGGTGGTATTTTTACTGGGTCGTGCTTGTGCTTTCGATCATACACGATTGTGCCATTGCCTTTGCTACGGGTTTCACGAATCAAGCTCTGTCGGCTGCTTTAACTCTTGGGATTTGGGTTTCCTGGTTTGCCACAATTAGGCGGTTCACCGCAAGGTGGGCAACGCTTGTGCTGTGGGCCGGCCTAGTGATCGCTTCGGGTACGATCGATGAATGGCCTCGCAGCCTCATGATCAATATTTGCTTGCAGCTATTTTACCTGGTTCCAATTCTTATATACGAGGGGTTCGACTAGTGCTTTTACAGAGATTGGAGTTCGCAGGGGTACATTAACTACAATATAAACTCTTATCTCATATGTGATGTTTTAGCATCGTATAGTGTATACAAAAGTGAATTAAAACATGAGTAAAGGCCCACAAATATAGCATCTAGAGGTACAATTCCTGAAATGATCGAATTGTTGACACCGCGGGCTTCCTGCCTAAGGCAAATGTGATCTTTTTTTTTCTCGTGATCTTCCTCTCTCTTTCTCTCTTAGAAGCTCAGCTTGATCCATGGGGTTCTTCCCCTTCGCCCTTTGGAACCTTCTATATTGTATTCGGTATATATGTATCTACCGTTCCTTGAGGGTTTCTTTCTTTCATAATCTATGTTGTAAAGTCAAGTTACTTCACACCTTCACTTGTTATCCCAACCATCTTTAATTTGCGTCTCTCATTTCATTCTCTTTGATGCCACCGGAATATCCGAGTTCGCTTCAACGGGTAACAACTCTCCCCTGAATTGACTTGACGATCCTGTTCTCACTCGTGAGATCTAGTTTATCTCTCCTCATCGATCACCATGTCCCACGCCATCCATGGAACATTACCCTCGAAAAGGAATCAGCAAAGAATCATGAAAACTGGAGCATTACCAGAATATTGTGGGCACAGATTTGGGAATGAAGATACAGGTTTCATACTTGTCTGGGCCCAATTTCCCCTGTGTACTGAAATAACCGACAAATCGACATGGGAACATGAGCTGCAATCTCTGACGTGGAATTTCAATATTTTGCCTCATTGAAGCTCACCCATAATGAGTAATGCCATCCAAATTGTTCATTCGGAAGCCACGGCCCCAGAAGACGCGCGCTAAAGAGACGATCACTTGCCTTCTTTCATACGATTGAGGACAAGAACTATTCACCTTCGACCACCTAGCCATACAATGACTACAAAGCACTCAAAGAACGCCGGAAGAAGAACGTTCTTATTTGGTGTCTGGTTAGAATGGTTATAGATACTGCGACAGCCCCGATGTCAACAACGAGAAACCGCAGCCGGGACAAGCAGTCTCCAGCAGGACCTGAAGTCTAGGTTAGCAGGCTCAACTCGAGGTTTCATAATACAGCCGATGCTTTCCCTAGGCTACTCCTCGGTTTGTTTGAGGAGAAAGATGAGAACGAACTTGGGAGGTTCTTCGATACCTCGACGGGGGCTCCTATAAGAGCAATTTAGCAGCTTTAATCTATTACGCATATGACTTCTAGCAGACTACTAGGCCACATCACCTGGCTGAGCTTATCCGCGCTATGGCTGAACAAATGAAATTACTTGTCTGTGAGTTTGTGACTGCAGTCACTACACATCGCCTCGCATAGGACGTGGATGCAGCAGACGCTACCGATGTGAGTATCACCAGGGCAAGGGCATATATAGGCCTACTGACATTACCACTCTAGTATACCAAGAGGGTTTATGGTGCACTGTATATACAGGTCCTAGAGGATATGCCGGGAGAGTATAGCAGCATCTGTGGGGACCTAATCCAAGGCAGTCCCACCATCTTATACGCCAGATCATTCACTTGCCCGGTCATACAACGGACTGCCAGTATTGCGCTAGCATTTCAATGATAGTAGCGGACCTTCCTAGCCCAAGTGGCGGCCCTTGTGGTTGACTACGAGGAGCGCACTGATGACGACGAAGACGAGTTCGACGAATCTAGTAGTGTCATGGCAGGTAAACTGTTACGGTCGGTTTAAGTCAGTTGACACAATAACAAAGGCGCTATTGTGAATGACACCAACGAGCAATTGTGCATGAGAAAGCTGGCCCCGGGGGGCGCTGGATGTCAATTCAGACTTTCAGCAGTTCGAAAATGTCTACAGTCAGCGCCGGTCTGCGTCAATTTCTGCGTCGCAGCTTTCTGCCTTACAAAACGAAAGCAACGACCCACGAACTCGAGTCTAACCTCCAAGAAGCTAATGGAGGGCACAATTGACGCTATTGCCCTCGTCTCCAATTACACTCACATTTTCAGCAACATTCTTTCATCAACAGCAAGGACCGGTAAGCTACCTCGGATCCAAGACGTATTACTATGAAAGTGAACACAAAACGTGGGGGAAATCGATACAAATAGCGCTCTTAACTGAGCAACAATGAAGCAACAAACCTTTGAATCCGCATCCCACCTAGCAAGTGGTTCCAATGTATCTAAGATCTAAAAATGAACATGACTGTGACAACCTCGCTGGCCGCTTATTGCCTCGTATGAAATGTGAAATCTAATCTACGACACCCGGAGTAAGCACCACAAAAGGATGTTGACGCATGATAACTTCGAAGTAACAGCTTGGCGATGTACCATGTTGTAATTACTTGGGTACTTCGGCTTATGCGCCAAACTTAAAAAGAGGCTGGATGCAAGCAATGCATTCCTTCGACAGGGATTCGCCGAGCCGCTCCTAAGAATAGACGACAGCGTTCAAAATCAACAAGAAACCAGCAAATACCAACTACATATAGCACTGGATACGAAGGAATCCTGTATGAACGCCATGTTACAGTAATACCACTAGTTGCGACAGCAACATAACCCGTAAAAGGGATCCACATCTGCAACAGGTTTCGACCTCGGGATACGCCTATCCACCAGCCACTATCCTGGACAAGCCCTAGGTAGAGTTCAAGGTCAAACCGCCAAGACACGCGTACCAAGATTTGCTGGTAACGGCTCCCGAGCGACCCGTCGTATGGTCCAAATAATAGCCCCCGAACACGCGAAGGGTGAAAAAAAAACCATCGTATTCGAATTCGGGTGAATTGGACCCTAGCATGTCAGTCAGGGCTTGACCCTGGTCCTCTACGGTACCGAATTACCGAAGTGGGCAGAACAGCCTTCGATGAAAATTCTGGAAGCCACGTTGTCCCACGGGAATTGGATGTGGGGTCATTCGGTTCCAAGATATGGACGGGCGTTATTTTTAGCCCTAGATCTGCCACATATGGAACCCGCTAGATATCTGGCGAATGCTTTGCGTTCCAAATGTTTAGCATATGGTGCCATGTGGATTTGTTTAGGTGGATGTGTGGGGATGTGTGGTAGAAACTGGTAGAGGAAATGAGTGCTTCGAATAAATTAGTTTGTTGGCACCTAAACTTTGCCGCGGGATGTTTGAATCTCGTTTAGTGTGGTAGCGTGGATAAGCAGCCAACAGCAGCTAAGCTAGCTTAAGAAACAGGCACGTTGGCTTGCGACGGCGTTTCCGGGGACATTTTCCTGGTACTTGCCCCACTGGGGCTGATATCCACTGCGTCTGGATGGCGTCAGCGTGTTATCCAAGCCATAAGCGACTCGCACCAATCGCAAGACTGAGATCGGGTCAGTGGGGTGGGGATTTCTGTCTCTAAGAGCCGGAGCCGCTTGGAACCGGTTGTTATCCCGAGATATGGGTCCGCATAATATCTATCCACGAGAGATATGCAGCCTCGATATCTAGCAGGATGGGTACATAATCAAAGACTGGTGGATCGTGCGATATGTCCCAGATATGTACAGAGTACGGAGTACTTGTGGGTTCGTTGCAATCTCTCGATGTTTCCTTTCCCGCTATCCCGCTATCCCGCTTTGCCTACGTACACGATACATCGTGTAAAGTATTGCAAGCTTCGGGAAACACATGTGTACCTCTCTTGTTATCCGGGCCATGGCCACGTATCAGATTTCCCTAGTCGTATGACCGCACGCTGTCTATGAAACGAGCATTCGAAACGCCCGGACACCGTGCATGGAATCTTGTAGGCCGTGACCCATACAGAGATGGTATCAGGTTGATTCCGGAATCCATCCACCCCGGCAACGAAAAAAAAGGCACCGGCTTAAAGGAAAATAGGGGAGTTAAAGTTATCAACCGTGAGACAAATGATAGTGCCATGCCGGTTCCGGGATAGATTCCTCTGAAACAAGAGTACCATTCCGAACAGGACCGGGATGAGTCGCAATGCATGATTCTGGTTACACGATCATTGACGTGCGAGCCACAGGCGCCCTATGATACTGTTGCACCGATATTCTCGGTATGATGGGAACATCCACGCCAAGGTGAGTCATATGCACCTGTCGAGATGAAAGAGAAAAGGCAAAAAAATAAATAAAAAAGAGAGACACCCATCTGTCTTCCTGCAGTCGGAACCAAAATGCGGTATATGCGGTAGAGAAAATCCAGTATTTAGGCATAGCCAGGCTAGTGATTGGAGGGGCTAGTGGTAAGCCAACGGAGGTACCTCCGGGGTGTCGTATCAAAGGGAGAGAGGCTCGAGGATGGTGAGATGACCTTCTTTGGATTGTTTATCTTTTTCCATTTCCATGCTAGTGTGATTCTACACCACAGCCCTGTCTTGATTTGCATATTAACGCTGGAAGTATCGAAGACGCATCGAAGGAGCGGGACGAGGCTGAGCTGAAAGTGGCTGTGGGCTGAGACGAGAGTGGGGGATGTCTGAGACGTGTCAGTCTCTACCAGGGCCCTCTTCCTTTGGGTGGTAGTGGGGAGTATCATTTTGACATGCACTGTCATCCTTCGAAGCTAGACGGGTGCCGACGTGCATGCGTCAAAGCGGGGTGCTTCTTTTCCAAGGTTGCCTAGTTTGGTCAAAGGATACCTTGTCGCAAAGGTTTACATTGGGCCGAGTACATTATCACAATGGCTGAATGTCCCCAAGTACCTAGAGAGAGTAGACATTTCTGGCAAGTCACAATCACAATCTCACCACCATAACGTGTGTGTGATATGACCAGAGCAGAAAGCCGGACATCTCAAAATTACCGAGACTTAGGGTCATGGAGCAACATCCCTGGCTCCAGTGAGGCGCAACGGTTCCATCCCCCTGGGTCTGTATAATTAGCATGTAAGATTGAGATATTGGAATATGGAATACATGTATTACTTGGAAAGACTCTCCATACATTATGCTTGGGAACCCTAAGTAAATGAAATGTTAGGGTGTTTCGAATAAGTGCTAC